TTACTTAGAAAAACGAACCACCTATTTTTTTACCTTCTTCTAGTTTAACTTAATTGCTGCAAAAATTATGTTTGATTTTAAATGGCACCACACAGATATGTGCAGAAATGAAAATTATTAATACTTTAAACTATTATTCACAGCATTTTAACCTATTAAAATTTTAATTATATTTCAGTTGATTGCATTTTGCTGCTTCCACCAAGTCTCAGAATTAGTTTTCTGAATTATACCGTACCAAATATAATTTTTTTCTACAGTCTTTGTATAAACCCAGTTACTAGGAACTACTTTTTCTTCTGCCTTCCACAGTACAACTCATTAACTATTCAGGAAAACGGTCAGATCAGATAGATAATAATATTAACTGCATTTTGCGATGTAGGTGATGACTAACATGCAGTTACTGTGTTATTTATAAATGGTGTATTTTACTGGTAATTCATCTCGAGTCCCAGTATTCATGCGCTCATGCCCGGGAAAGCACCTGGCTCACGTGATCACGGTTCACAAGCTGTAGCCAGCGCCGCTGGGCTGCTCATTGGTCCAGCCGACAATTGCGCGGCAGTCTTTGGCGGTGTTCTAACCGGTTCTAACCGAACAGCGGCAAGAAAGAAAAAGAACAGGAGGAAAGAACTTCAGCTGCAGGAATAAAGGGATTCGCAACGTTCTCCAGTCTGCTACAGGACGACGAAGACTGTTTTCTCGACGTAGATGCGTGGAGCATCACTGCATGTAAGTGCCCTTTCTCTTTACTGACTTTTAGTCAAACATTGCTTGCTCAGACTAGTCACCGATATTTGAGAAAGGATAAGTTTGAGTTAACTGCCGTTCTGGTTCAAAATGTCTTACACGTGTACTGTTTGTAAATTCAAAGCTGTGTCAACTCCCGCATTTACAGGTGCTGGCCAGTAAATTAGAATATCATCAAAAGGTTGAAAATATTTCAGTAATTCCATTCAAAACGTGAAACTTGTACATTATATTCATGCAATGCACACAGACCAATGTATTTCCGATGTTTATTACATTTAAATTTGATATTTATAGGTGACAACCAATGAAAACATCAAATCTGGTATCTCAGAAAATTAGAATATTCTAAAGGCCAATGAAAAAATGTTTGTTTCTCTAATGTTGGCCAACTGAAAAGAATGAACATGAAAAGAATGTGCATGTATAGCACTCAATACTTAGTCGGGGCTCCTTTTGCCTCAATAACTGCAGTAATGCGGCGTGGCATGGACTCGATCAGTCTGTGGCACTGCTCAGGTGTTATGAGAGCCCAGGTTGCTCTGATAGTCGTCTTCAGCTCCTCTGCATTGTTGGGTCTAGCGTATTGCATCCTCCGCTTCACAATACCCCATAGATTTTCTATGGGGTTAAGGTCAGGCGAGTTTGCTGGCCAATCAAGGACAGGGATACCATGGTCCTTGAACCAGGTGCTGGTGGTTTTGGCACTGTGTGCAGGTGCCAAGTCCTGTTGAAAGGTGAAGTCTGCATCCCCATAAAGTTGGTCAGCAGCAGGAAGCATGAAGTGCTCTAAAACTTCCTGGTAGACGGCTGCATTGACCCTGGACCTCAGGAAACAGAGTGGGCCAACACCGGCAGATGACATGGCACCCCACACCATCACTGACGGTGGAAACTTTACACTGGACCTCATGCAACGTGGATTCTGTGCTTCTCCGCTCTTCCTCCAGACTCTGGGTCCTTGATTTCCAAAGGAAATGCAGAACTTGCTTTCATCAGAAAACATAACTTTGGACCACTCAGCATCAGTCCAGTCCTTTTTGTCCTTGGCCCAGGCGAGACGCTTCTTGCGCTGTTTCTTGTTCAAGAGTGGCTTGACACACGGAATGCGACACCTGAATCCCATGTCTTTCATGAGTCTCCTCGTGGTGGTTCTTGAAGCGCTGACTCCAGCTGCAGTCCACTCTTTGTGGATCTCCCCCACATTTTTGAATGGGTTTGTCGTCACAATTCTCTGCAGGGTGCGGTTATCCCTAGAGCTTGTACACTTTTTTCTACCACATTTTTTCCGTCCCTTCGCCTGTCTGTTAATGTGCTTGGACACAGAGCTCTGCGAACAGCCAGCTTCTTTAGCAATCACCTTTTGTGTCTTGCCCTCCTTGTGCAAGGTGTCAATGATTGTCTTTTGGACAGCTGTTAAGTCAGAAGTCTTCCCCATGATTGTGGTGCCTTCAAAACAAGACTGAGGGACCTTTTAAAGGCCTTTGCAGGTGTTTTGAGTAAATCAGCTGATTAGAGTGGCAGCAGGTGTCTTCTATATTCAGCCTTTTCAGAATATTCTAATTTTTTGAGATACCAAATTTGGAGTTTTCATTAGTTGTCACTTATGAATATCAAATTTAAATGTAATGAACATTGGAAATACATTGGTCTGTGTGCATTGCATGAATATAATGTACAAGTTTCACGTTTTGAATGGAATTACTGAAATATTTTCAACCTTTTGATGATATTCTAATTTACTGGCCAGCACCTGTATTCGACATGTTAAAATGCACAGAAATGTCGCTAACATTAGATTTCACTGTGGCTATGCAAATTGTCCTTCTGCTTTTTCAACAGTAATTGCTCTTCAAAAGCATATGTACAGAGTTCATACGACCACAGTTAAATCAAGGGCGCAAACGCAAGGACATGCTTTAGCTTTGTCATGCAAATTTGAGGGGTGTACCTTTGTGTCAGAGCGTGTAGCAACCTTATGGGAGCATCTGCAGCTACACAAGTCAGGTGGGACAAAAGTGCCTTGCCCCTTTGATAACTGTCCAAAGACTTTTTCTGTCCGTTCATCTTTCACCTCACACATCAGTCTGAAACACAAAGCAATAATTTGCACCTCTATTGCTGCTGCTGCCAGCACAGCTAGCTCCATGGACACTGAAATGACTAAAACAGCTCAACCAGGTTTAGATGACAATCGTGAAGCAGAAGTGTTGGATGGTGACACTGAATTAGATGAGAATGAGTTCATGACCAGTTTGGCCTTGTTCTATCTCCAGATGCAGGCTAAAATGCTGCTGCCTACCAGCATGATTCAAAAAATAATTGAAGAGTTCCAGCAGGTGCACAGTTCAAGCACAGCCCATCTTTTGTCTAAGCTGCATCAAGATTTGACTCAGTTAAATGTGCCTGAAAATGAAATCAGAAATCTCATTGATAATCTGTCAAAAAACGACCTGATGAAAAGATGCAATGAAGGAGTTTTTAGAAGTGATCAAACACGGAAAACGCTTTTCAAGCGTGAATTCAATTATGTTGAGCCAACAGCGATTTACCTGGGTATCGACAGAAATGGAAAAGAGAGATTTTGCCAGTATGTGTCTATTAAAGAGACACTCAAGGCATTACTTAGCCAAGGATCAGTTCAAGAGCAATATCTCCAAGCAAAATCTGAAACATCAACTCCTGATGTCCTCGAAGATCTGAGAGATGGTAAAATCATAAAAAACAATAAATTATTAAATGAATCACCATCCTCAGTAGGTATAATCTTATATCAAGATTCATTTGAAGTTGCTAACCCCCTTGGTTCTGGCAGAAAGAAGCACAAGATCTTGGCTATGTATTTGACGCTAGCAGAAATCACGGCACACAACAGGTCTTCCGTTGACCAAATGCAACTAGTTTTGTTGTGCAGGGAGGAGGACTTCAAATTTTTTGGCCAAGAAAAGGTATTTTGTGCTGCAGTTAATGACCTGAAAGAAATTGAAGACAGTGGTATTCATGGTCCTAGAGGGAATAATGTGAGGGGTACTGTTTTGGCCATAACAGGAGATAATCTAGGATCTCATTCCATTGGAGGTTTTACTGAAAACTTCAGTAGAAGCAGATACTTCTGCAGATATTGCCTCATTGACAGGGAAACCTGGGAGCAATCTCCAACAAAACCTGGTCCAGCTAGATCAGTAGAGACCTACAAAAACTGTGTGGCAGAGGGGGAAATGGCATATGGGGTAAAGTTTGACTCTGTGTTCAATCAGCTGAAGTATTTTCATGTTTGCCAGCCAGGCCTCCCTCCATGTCTGGGTCACGATCTGTTTGAAGGGATTGTTTCTGTTGATCTTGCTCTATATATAAAGCACTTAGTAAAGATTGAGAAACAGTTCACATATAACCACATAAACAGGATAATATCATATTTCCCCTACAAAGGCAGCGATGCCAACAATAAACCATGTGAGGTAAAAGCAGATGGCGAAAAGCTTGGTGGCCATGCTGCTCAGAACTGGTGCCTCTTGCGTCTCCTTCCTGTAATGGTTGGGGACAGAATAAAAAATCCCCTTGAAAATGATGTTTGGCAGTTGTGTCTCAAGTTGAGAGAGGTTGTTGAGCTAATATGTGCACCGAAGATCCACAAAAACCAAGTTGCATATCTTCAAATGCTTATTGAGGAGTACCTTGAAATGAGAAGAAAAAAATTCCCAGGAAATTCACTGCAACCCAAACATCATTACCTTGTTCACTACCCTGCGCTTATCCTCCATTTTGGTCCACTTATTCGATTATGGACGCTGCGTTTTGAAAGCAAGCACAGTTATTTTAAACAGTGTGCAAGGAAGCTTCATAATTTTAAAAATCTCTGCAGCACTTTAGCTGAAAGACACCAGCTGCTGCAAGCTTACTTGCTTGCTGGCAGATTCTTTCCGCCATTGCTTCAAATAGGGGAATCCATGAAGTTCCATGACAAACTCTACCAGATCGCAATACAGAGAGCTGCCAGTCTCCGTGACCTTCATCCAGAGAACACTTTTGAAACAGCCTCTGTTACATTTAAAGGGACGCTGTACCAAAGAGGCATGGTTATTGTTGTCAACCAAAATGACACAGGCTACAAGTTTGGGAAAATTGTGCTCATACTGATTAATCAGTCATGTGTGCATGTTGTTGTTGAGCTGTACCAGTCAGTGCGTGTTTTGGATCTCGGTGTACACTGTCTACAAAACAGTCATGATACTCATTACGAGTGTGTGTCTATGGACAGTCTTGCAGACTACTATCCATTGGCCACATATAATCAGTTTAGTCTGAACTTGATTGCCTTGCACCATTCAGTGTGTTACAGGTAAAAGACATGGACTCCATTGAGCATGCAATACAGAGCGTGCTACCACAGCTACAGAGGGAGAAGGTGGAAGCAGTGATTCACGAGTTTGAAACCACATTGGGTGTGGAAGGGCCAGATGATCTTCAGTTTATCAAAGAGGCAGACATCAGTCACCTACTATCACCCATTCAGTGCAGAAGATTGATTAATTCTTTCAAAAGTCGTAAGCTGTCTCAATTAGCCTACATGTTTATGTTCACTGCTATTGTATTTTGATGATAATGACTATTAAGATGAAAAATGTTGGAATGAAACAAAATTAACCATTATGTTTTTTGTGCCTATGTCAATTTGTTATGCAGATCCAAAAAGTCCTCAGCCTATCACCTCCTCACCCGTTTCTTCCCCCTCTAGCTCATTTTCAAATGAGCCTTACACCAGTCCATTAACCAGTCCACAAGGACACAGCAAATGGGTAGACGGATTTCAGGTGCAATGGGACAAAATGAGGCCCGCTCTCAAAAGAGCCATTGATGATGGTAATCGTCCAGAGCCAGGGGATCGCAGACACATGGTGAAAGTCATTGTTGATTCCATGAGAGAACACTGCTTGAACCCGACACGAAAAGACTGCACAACAGTAGCAAAAGCTATAACTCAGATGTATCCTGGCAGCTTTTTAGATAAAACAGATGAGGGAGAAATTATTGGATGTGGATACTTCACTTTACTGCAGCAGCTGAAAACCAGAGTTGAATATGTCAACAGAGACAACACACTCTCCCGCCTGAGGAGGCCCAGAAGGTCAGACACAAGTGATGATGACCAGCCGCCACCACCTGCCAAATGTGCTAAAATCGACAGTTATGGTTGTATTAACTGGCAGCCACAGGAGTATCCAGAGGGGGAAACGGCTCAATCACTAGAAGAAAAGAGGAAAGAAATGATAGATATTTTTACTCAAGATGGACCAAAGGCAGCTGAGAGAGGAAGGGTAAAGGAACTTATGACAAATACATATTCAAAACAGCGAGAAGACATCAATGCTGACCCATCTCCCAGCATTCTGGACATAAGTAAACGGTGGCCATTTCTCCTGTCTTGGAAGCTCTTACTTTCCCACTTCACTACCCTGACTGGTGTTGACCTGTACACCAGACTGAAGGATGACATGGATAAAAAGGGGAAGAGGCTCCTGGAGTACTTCGGATGTCAGGTGATGAGTTGGACCAAGGAAGTTAAAGCTCTTCTGAAAGATGCTTTAAAGGCAAACCGAGAGGGCACAGATGGTCTTGCAGCACTCCTGGTGATGATGACCCATTTCAAGGAAGCAGAGGACGCCCTTTTCATCCTTGCTGATGTAAGTTATTATATTGGTCTTAAATAATACTTAATGTAAAAAGTTCTTTGTTAATTGTAAATAGGGATGCACCAATACACTTTTTTTCACTTTTGACACCATTATCTGAGGTTTAGTATCAGTCGATATTAGTGCTCAATTTGTGAATCAAACCTTCCCGGAACGCAAATACTGGGGGGGGGGGGGGGGGTTTCGCAGGAGTTTTTGACAATTAAAATTGCGCCCACATTTTCTAAGTTAACACAACTCTTTTGACAACAGTAGTTTCAGCATCTTTACTGTCCCCCTGCTTTAGCACTCTCCCCTCTCCCCCTACGCAGCGGCCGCACAGGTGCTCCTGTCAGAGTTCCTGCTGCTCTAAACATTAAAATAATTATTTCATTTTCTGTTCCTCATGTCTGATTACATTCAATGGTGTCTGTTTGTTGCAACCAGCAGGTACAAAAACTAACTTGTTTTCATTTGACTATTTTTCTGTCCTGTCTGTTTATTATCTTCCTGCATCTCCTCTCAATCCTAAAGAGAAACTGCTACCTGGGTTCATATATATTCACCTTATGAGTTACCTTTGAACTGCAGTTCTAAAAGATCTACCGACCGCAAAAACAGCAGTCTGCGCGCCAGCCACACTGGTGATGAAGTCACCGGAGGACAAAACAGGTGATGCGCTCCGCCCCACAGCAGCGAAAAGCATCAGGCACAAATAACAGACAGAAAACATAAAAGGAAATGAGCCGACATGAACGATCGCGTGTTAAATTTGTTTTTGAGGTGGTGACACCTGATTGAATAATGTTACTGTGGCCGTGCTCAAGACGCAGATGTCTGGAGCACGTCAACGATCAGAGCTTTGCACCTATAATCTCCGGAGAGTCTGCATGAATAATGTAATATCAGTAGAACCAGGATCGTTTTCGGGCTCCCCCTGGGTGTGTAAGCTGAGGGCTTCCAGGGGAGCCTGTCTTCTTTTGGGATGAGTCGGGGTCCCTTCAGCTGACCCGTAGTTCAAACCATGCGTATAGCACAAGTTGGTTGCGCGAGTTGCCGGATCCTAGCAGACAGTTGCCAGAACGGTCCTTTGAAAATAAGACAGTTCCTGGATCTTGTTCCGGCGAGATCCGGCTCAAATTAAGCCCTGGTCGATATTGATCTCATACCGATACAAAAATCCAACACTTTATTGCATAATGAACTACGTATGAAAAAGACTGCACTGCAAAAACTGATTTCTAAGAAAGTAAAAACACTCCTTTTTAAACATTTTTCTTTTTAGTCCAAACAGATAAAAAAAAATTCCCCAGAAAAATAGCATTACTTAAAATTAGCTAAAAATTCTTAACTATGATCCAGATTTTGTAGTTTTGAGTAAAAAAAAATCTGCCAGAGAGGTAAGCGGTAAGAGGTAAAAAGTTGCTTGGCTAGAATTTGTAAAACTAGCAAATAAATTGATTGTTTTTTTACTTAACTTGAGCAAAACCTTGCGAGACTTCATAACTGCTGCCTTTTAACTATGAACTGCTTTAAATTCCCTCCAAATTGACGGTCAGTCGAAACAACGGAAAATTTGCAATACGTGCTGGAACAGAGCACGTTGCTCTTTTGCCGCTGACCGCTCCTGCATGTCGCCTCCTGTGGGTCGAACCCTTAATAAACACTAGAAATCCAAGAGGCCTTTGCAGCGCTTTGCTGCCCGGGCCTAATTAAAAGACAACTTAGATGTGTTTTTCCTTTTTCTTTCTTATTCTAATGCTTTGCTGGAGTATTAGATTGAGAGCAAAATAATGTGATCAAAGCATCCCTAGTTGTTGCATTTTGCGTTTTGTCCTGTTCTCTCTGAGCCTCAGTGGATATACCAGGGACTGTCTTCTACATTTGCCAATTGTAAAACTTAAAAAGGAGTCTGTTAAGCTGTGTTAAACACTGTTTACTGTGTTTTTATTTATTTATTTTGTAAAAAGTTTAATTGTGCATTTTGTTCATCTCAATTCATCAGGTTACAACAACTCCTGCTGATGCAGAGGAACAGTTCGTCCTCCCAAGCACCCCAAGGCTCATCGCACTTGGTAAAACTGTCATTTAGTAAAAGCAGATATAGAGAAAAATAAATCCTAAGTTGACATTAAGACTAGTGAGGAAGTCTCATTACTGCAGTGCCCGGGGAGAACATTCCAACTATGACTTGGTTGGCTGGGGATGAGACAATGATCATCCCCAGCCAACCTCCTGCCCACTCAGCCACAGCAACACTTTGCCAGGAAAGAAGGTTTGCGAAGCAGATCGCTCACGAAATTCGTGTGCTGCCTGCTTTTCCTCTATTCACATCAGGCACAAAGTTTTCCGTCGCAATCAACAAGCGCTTCTGCTCAGCTGTTGCATTTCATTTTTTAACTATGTTTACCAGGTATTAGCCCCCATTTACTGCTCTTTTCCTGTTTAAAAACACCCCACGTGCCTTTGCTGTTCTGTGTGTGTGCACACTCAAACACCCTACCTATTTATATCTTCGGAAACTGCGCCGATCCTGCTCAGCTCTTGTGTAATTAGACCAATTCCTTTAAAATTGGGTTCGTAAATAACTTGGTGTTTTTGGTATGAAACAATGCTACTGTATATATTTATCTTTGAATTAAACGTATTTGTTTATCTAAGCAAAACAGGTTCTCCCCCTCCCCATAGTTCAGCCTACACTGCGGGAATGGGTGTGTTTAATTTTCATCTCTAGTCTGTTTAGATACACAAATATGATTGCATTTATCAATCGGTGTTTTGTTTGAAAAATAGCTTTATTTTGTTAAATTTCATGGCCTGCCTCTTCTGTCTTTGACTTCCTGTCAGAACTGATGCAGCTCCCTTTCATAAAAAATAGAGCACACGCCAAAACAATTGTCACATGGCGTGAGCCTTCCCAGTGCTTCGCAGCTGCTGTGAACGACACCATAAGTCAACAAGGGCGCCGAATAGAAGCGCTCTTTGTTCCACGATGCTTAGCATCACTTCTGTGTCTGATGTGAACTATGTATCAGACATTACTTATTTGTAATTCAATTGTTGTTTTATATTTGATTATTGCAGGAGACACTATGTGGTCTGCGAACAAGTGGATGCTATCCATAGAGGGCAGAGTTGTAATCCCACTTTTGCCTCCCATACCGGATTTTACAACTGCCTTGGCTGTCCTGTTTGCCAGTTTCTATGTATTCAACATAGAATATCAGGTGGAAGCAGTCACAACACTGGAATTCGTTCAGAGGTATTGCTAATAACATTCTAACTTAACTTTGAGCTACAATTAAATTCAAGTTTATTTACAAATATTTAGAAAAATCTTAGAACTCTTCATAGTGCTGAAAGAATAGTAATTTAAAATTAGAACAGTCGGACAATAACTAAAATCATTTGCTCATACAAATATGTTCATTCAGGACAATAAACGCTGTAAGTCTAAATATCCAATCGGCGCCAAAATCATTACTATGTTTTAGCTGCACCTTGACTCTAAAGCTGCTATTCGTAATCTGCAAAATAAACTAGCTTACTCACTCAGAACTCTCACCCCTCCCATCAAGTAGCAGTCCTAGGCCATGCCCCACTGAGGAAGTGCGGTGATGTTCTGCTGCAAAATGTGCTACAAGCATAATGAGTCATGGAGCCACGTACATGCAGAAGTCTGTTTGTCGGGTGGGATTGTTTAATCATTGGTTTTGGACCAATCCATGTTTTTGGCTGAAGTTTAGACAAAAGAACCACTTAATTATCTATATTTTTCTTTAATCTCCACAAAATATTTCTAAGAATGTTGTGTTAAAATGTTAATAGGCATGAAAAAATCTGTTAGATTACTTATTTTGCAGATTAAAGATAGCAGCTTTAAATTTCTTATCCTTTCATGTTGATTCCTATAAGCTTTTTGATCTGTTCTGAGAGGACTTTTGTTATGATGATGTGCTCACCAAACTGTCCATAAGTTATATTAACTTATATTTTCATTTCTATTAGGTTCCTTGCCAGGATCAATCCAAATTCCATCAAGTGCACAGCCAAGGTCCAGACGAGCAGAAAAACTGGCAGAACTGTGAAGAGAAAGACAACGGATATAAATCCACGCGTCGTTTCATTCATGAACGCCTTCTCTGCATTTGACTGGCAAAACAGCTAGCTTAAGGTGAGGTTCTGATACTGGTCACTACATCTATGAAGATGGGTTTGGTCTTTATTTGTCTTAAGTAGCGTAAACATATGGAGCCCATAAGGGGACATGAGCAACAAAAATCTTGTGCGTACCAGTAATTTTCTCGTGCGCACAATTTAATAACTTGTGCGTAAGAGATACTTTATCATCAGCTAATAAAAGTTAAAAGCCAGATGTTTTTGTCAAAAATTGGAATAGACTTTAATCATGAGTTGTTGTAAGATCCACATCCCTACTGGCTATATTATTAGAATTATTCTCACAATCTATGACCTAATGCTTGGATGTGACCAGAGGGCTCATGCTGTAGGCTATGTGCGTTTGTAACAGATCATAGTCTTGGATTTGGAACTACAAAAACAAAGAAAAACGCTGAAATGAGGAAAAGCTGGCCAGAGAAATGGAATGTGCAACATTCCTTGGCACCCCTGGCTACTTTATGCAAAGAAACTTCATCTTCACTCATCACTACAGTTAATGGCATGCTACACTTGTAACGGGGTTGGGCGATTTGTATAATTTTTCCAACCTCCAATTGTCAGTCCAATAACTGACGATAGACGATACATTCGCAGATGTGTCTCTGAGCAACATAATCATGCACCGATTGAATTGCGAACAAAAAAGAAGCCCAATCATGGATATTTTAAATGGAAGCACAGTGCATAGATGTTTGATGGAAGAGAAATTTATATTCTTCCTACTTATTGTTTAATTTTGAATCTGGTCAAGTGTACGTCACAACGGTTGTTATAAACACGTTTATAGTGTTATAAAGAAGCCTCATCTTTGTTTCCCTGTGGCGCACACCATTGTGGTATTTAACATAGGCGTTTGCACCTGGGCGCATTAGTGACTTAGCAGGACAAAATGAAGGGAGTGAAGCATCCTGTCAGAGACATTGAGGATCTTTGTGTCTCTGAGAGGAAGCGGAGCCACAAGTGAGCCTCGTGAGGAGAATGGCGAACCTTATTGCAAAGCCAAATGCTACGGCTTTTTACATTACATTAGTGGTTATTTTGGTCTTGATAATGTCGACAATAATATAGTTTATTGTCAATAATTTGTTGAACAGCATTCCAGGTCAAGATGAACCTTAAATTAAATGAACCATGCAAGGAGAAATTCTTGGGGAAAAGATTTTTATTTTCACACAGGGATTAAGGATGGGTGCCGAATAGAGTTGGCTATCGATTCAAATTTCAAGAGTCGATTTGATTAAGATTCTCAAGATTTAGAACCGATTATTGCTATTCAGTTCAATTTGCTATATCCATTCAGGTCAGTGAACTCTTCTTTTTTTTTTTTTTTTTTGCTGTTACCTGACTATGTAGTTGTGCAGTATATTAAAATAGTAACATTCAACAACAAACTAATGAAATATTAGCAGTTTAAAATGGCTGTAAGGCCCAATCTCTCTCTCAGAATGTAACTTTTCACAAACAAGCTGTCTGAATCAGCAAACTGAACCAGGAACAGCCAACAGAAGATGTAAGATGTACACACAAATGCATCAATGGAACACAAACCTAGGGCATTATGAACAATAAGAAAGTAAGAATCCATCCAAAAGCTATGTGCTCACACACACACACACAAACACAAACACACTTATTATTTGATTTTTATACTGGCCTCACTAAACACAAATGCTTTTTAACCATATTTGTCAGATATATTTTTTGGCTTGAACAGCTTCAGGGTTGACCTTCCCTTAAATGTAATCATTTGGTCCAAGAAAATGTCCATGTCTGGACCACAGATGGCTGGGATACGTGGAATATTCATTTGTGTTGCGCTCCTTGACTTCACATTCCCTCTTCATCTGTCTTAATTAGCTGAGTTTTTTATTGTGATTGTTTTATTTTCAGGATGTTGCTGTGGAGCAGCCCTACAGAACTGATGGACTGGGTGAGGGACCCTAAGAGGCAAGGAGTCTGTACCAACAGTACAATTTTTTTTTTACATCGCGGTATGGAAAAATAGTGTTTTTTGTTGATATGTCAATGCCACTGTTTTGACTGTTTTAAGGTTATTGAGGTTCGTAATATTGCAATATGTTCACAACATGTTCTAGAAACACAATGGTGATCATGTATCATTATTTATCTGGATACTTCTATCCATTGTTTTAAGTAGTTTTTGTGTTCTTTGAATACACAAATGTTCACAGCATGTATACAAAAATGTTGACATGTTATTGCCTGTTTTTATAGATATGGCTATGGCTAGTTGTATTGTAATGTGTGTACAACATGTTCTAAGAACTTAATGATGATTATACTTTTTTGACAATGTTATCTGTGGATATTTATATCCATTGTTATAGAAATAAATGGGCAAATGTAACTTTTGTTGTACTAATTTATTTAGTAAGATACAGCATAACATAAATCAAAAGAACACCTGCAATATTTTAACTTTAAAAGACAGTAATGCAATTTTTACTATACAGTTAAAGTACTATTTTTTAGCCAAAAATACTAAACTTGGAATTTACTGTTATTTCATTTATAGTTAAAACACCAATGGTGTAATCACAAGCGCAGCAATTGAAAAATTAAATTTATTTTACAGTGAAACATGGTAGCAAAATTAGTTAATTTATAATTGCAGTAAAAAGGGAAATTCATGCAGTGTTTTGAAGTACGGTTACAATAACAGTACTTTTACATAAACAGTAAAGCACTGTGTGTAGTTACAGTTAATTTTGCAGTTATCCCAATATTACTGTAATATAAACAGTAATATATAAAATTTACTGTGTTAGATTTTGAAGTTAAAATAATGTATACTATAACAAAACATACAGTAATTGTTAGTTACTGGGTTCAGTTCTTTAGTTACAATACTGTATTTTTTTTTACAATAACTTACTGGTTTATTACTGTGAATTTTACAGTGTGTTTGTTATTTAATTTTCATAGTTACAATCACGTTACTGTAATATATACAGTGATACACAATATTTACTCTTTTTAATTTTACAGTAAGTCACTGCCATAACACATACAGTAAGTGTTAATTACAGTGTTCAGTTCTACAGCTAAAATACTTCTTTTTTTTTTACAATAACTTACTTGTCAATTGCTGCCGGTTAATTACTGTGAATTTCACAGTTGGCTTGTTATTTAATTTTACAGTTACAACAATGATACTGTAATATAAAAACCAGTACATGATATTTACTGTGTTATATTTTACAGTAAATAAATAATACTGTAATAGTACATACAGTAAATGTTAGTTACTGTGTTCTGTTCTACAGCTACAACACTGTAATTATTTTTACAATAAACTTACTTGTCAATTGCTGCCGGTTAATTACTGTGAATTTCACAGTTTGTTCGTTACAGTGTATGTAATAAGTTTGTTATGAGAGACTTAGATTAAACAAAAATGTGTTAAAACAAATGCATTTAAATGAAGTTACAGGACTGATAATCTAAGAGGTAGTTTGAGCTGGTTATTTAAACAGTTTTTTGTAGAAGAGTAAATTTTACTGGCAGCAGCAAAATGTCATATTTATGCCACAACAACCATATTATGTAGATAACAGATATGTTTATGTTTATGTGCTTAGCAGATGCTTTTACCCAAAGTGACTTACAATATTTTATATATATATATATATATATATATATATATATATATATATATATATATATATATATATATATATATAATATATAAAATAATATTTTGTGAACAGCTTTGGATTTTGGACATTAGCTGTTTTAAAGGAGTGATTTACTTGTACCAATGTATATACTATGTGACATACATTAGTATTCCTGCACACTGGTGATCTGTTGTGCTCAATTGCTGAACAAATTGTTCAATCAGTTGGCTGCTGGTTGAATTTGCTCATGACAGGTTTTGGAGGCTTATTTCCTGATATTTGGACATCTGTTGGCTAACAGCAATGCAACTCTTCCACTGACTTGCAATATTAATGATTTATCTCCACAAATAACACAAGTCTGGAGGGCTTCTGCTGTGTGAGGGAGTTGCTAAGCTAATGGTTAGCTTAGGTGTGGCAGCCGCTGCTGATTCCCAGACGTTAAAACAACAACAGCCATGAGTGCTAAATGCTAGTGTGACAAAGAAGACTATCTTCATGTTCAGCCTGCATGAAAAACTCCAATTATAATCAGTAAAAAAATATTTTAAAATGTTTTTTCAGTCAACCACACTTTTAAACTGACATGGAATCTGTCTGGATGTGAGCCCATTCAGCGGAGCCAATTTTTAGCTCATTAAAATGTCCCACACGGGCCATGAGATGAAGCATTGCAGAAATTTCTTGCTAATTCTGCCAAAATAACCATGTAATGTGAAACTGATGGTGGACCTGGGACCATTCTTAATCCTAAAAACATCCAAATCCGTAAAATTTTAAAACAGAAAGAATCCTGCTTATGAACTTTTACACATCAGTCAATTTCTAAATAAAAAAATGTTTCAGCTGAAATATGAAGACGAACATCTCTATTATCTTAAAAGCCCTGTGTGTGAAATCCATTGAAATCATGATGAAAACATGTGACTCTTTAGTGCTATGCAGTTCAGAGAAAGTATTGCAGCTACGGTGGCTCACTCATGAGTTAGACTGTATAATCAATTTCCAACCTGTGTAGCCTAACCCACACAAAGCTTCAAACAAGCTACTCGACATCCTAAAAAAAGCATTTATAATTATGACCGTTTATCAACCTGCCAGTCCTGAAGGAAGCAAGCTAGCTCTGTTAGATCTTGAAGCGGTCACGATTCACACGGAGGAGGGGTGACATCAGCCAGGAGGTCAGGTGTTGTGAGAAATTGTGTTCCCCTGAAATTCTGTCCCCCTGTGTCAGGAGATCTCACTTCTGGCCATTTTCACAACATTTGTGATCAACTTTTACAGTAAAATGTTGTAACGTAGTGTAATAATGTTATGCTTGTGATTTTTTATCTGTAATTCCTCCTAAAAACAATAAAAAAGATACAGTAAAAACATTATTTTTCACTCTTTTGCAGCAAGCTTATTTATCATTTTTGAAAGTTATGTAAAAAGATGTAATCTTACTCAGTTTAACCATCTTTCATTTGAGGTAGTATAGTCCTCATAATTGACTAGAAGTTCTGTGAATTTGGAAATGTTTGCTCTTGACTGCCTCAGGGAAACAGAATATTTCAGGAGAACATAATTTCCCACAACACCTGATTCACGTGGATCATGGTGCACTTGATGTAAACAAACTGACTGCCGCTACCAGCTTATACAGATATGGAGCGATCACAGGCTGCTCGTTAGCCACGGCTGGTGAAGGAGGGTTGGTGAGCCGGGGACATGCTGTGGAGGTCAAGTAAACAATGTTGACTTATCCACCTGCTAATCGTGGCTCACGGCTGGCGTGGTGGAGATGGGCGTCATGAGTGGCTTGTTAGCCATGGCTAGAGTCAGGGAGACGCTGTGTATGCTGTGTGTAAACCACAGATTACCAGCAAAAGGACACCCAGGTCTAGACGTAAGGAGAAGGAGCCCTCTGAGTCTGAGCGTCTCTGTAACGCGTGAAGAACTACATTGCTGTTAGTAAAGTGTTGTGGAGATAAAGTAAACAATGCTGATTTAGCCACTGGCTAGCGGACGAGCGCTGGGGCGTGTTGGGCAAGACGGCAGACTGCAGGAAGAGAGGAGACTTGAGTAGAAGTACTTTGGAACGGACACATTGGGACTGGGTCGGAAGTTCTGGTACTGACACGTTGGGACCGGATCGGGAGTTCTGGTAATAGGAAAAGACGAATGAACAACTTGAGGTGAGTTTGGGAGTCAGAGACACTAATCAGAGGTTGGTGTCCAGCTAATAGCGGGCGGGGATCTGAACATTTGCGGCTTCCTTGTGTTGGACATGATGAGGAACTGACAAATTTTATGTGTCTTTTGAATTAATAGTTTTTTATTCAAACTAACAAGTACTGCAACGGTGTAGCTATTCTTTTGTATTTCTTAGTTGAATTAGCAGACTTCATGCTTCCAGGGCACACTGCTGCCCTCTGCTGGTTCTTTCAGGTTACAGTCATAGTCTAAATGGGTAACGTGGAGCTTGTATGTCCCTAAACAGCTACTGTATTTTAAGATGGTGGATGACAATGGGGCATCAACTGCAGTTTATGTATAAAAAATGTATAATTTCAAGTTGAGAGGAACATTTAGAATTGATGTTGGTGAGAAATATTAGTGAAAAAGGACAAGTTTGTGAACTGGAAACATCATTTTATAATAAACAGGTAAAAATATCACACACTAGGGCTTTAAGGGCTGTAGCTGTGACTAGATATCCATGTAAATATTCATATTATGGAAAACTAAAGCAGGTCATACAGATGTCTATTGTGTGAACTGATATGAAATTTTGAGCATTTTTCATCTTTTTTTTAAGACAACAGCTCTTCACTTTAAGAACTTTAACCATTTGATGCATAATGGTCACTACAGTGGACAGGTACTCAAAATTATTATTTTTTGCTATTAAGCACAGCTGTTGAAGACTTTATTGCATTTGAGCCCCTCCATTTGGACTTCATTTATTCAAGCCAACATATTTCATGTTCAGAATGCTCGCTGTCCACTGAGGTGGATGTGTAATTATTTGGAAATTAAATGTTACAAAAATATGTAAATATGAAATTTGTTTCATTCACACCTAAAGATGAATGAAAAAATTGTTAAAAATAATCATGGTTGAAGATTTCATAATTCATGCATCAAAGGGTTAAGATAAACCCATTAAAACTCTCCTTTTAAACATTTTTAATTCATTTTGGGGAAATAAGTGCTAATATTTAATTTAGGTTAATAAATAGTCATTTTTATAACCCTTTGAAAGGATGTGTGTCATGTTCTGAGGTATGTGCTTAACCCAAGACATGCAGAATCAGAGACCGGAGGCAAGTATGA